ATTTAAAATATACATATTTTTTTCTTTCATTTTGATGCATATCAAGAGCAAAATCCAGCCAAATATTTTCAGCTTCAAAGTTTTAAAACTACACAGCAATGGGGAAAAGCTCCATGGCATTATTTCTGAAATATCATGCAAAATACTGAACTTTATTACTGAACATTTAGTTCAGCACGTTGCTTACTCTGCAATGGAACTACCATTGTATACATTTAAAGATCAAGTGTTTTAATAGGATAAAAACTTGGGAAATTGACAATAGAAAACTTGAAGCTTTAATACTGAGTGAAATGCTCTGGAAAGTACATAGGGGAATCCTTTTTGCATAAGAGGAGGCACTAATCATGAACCAATGTTGAATCATTCAAAAGAAAAAAAGAAGGAAAGATTGACCAGCGTTTAATCTCTTTAGCAAGATGAGGGATTTAATGTAATCCAGTACTAAAAATAAAGATGCCGGGTTAAATGACCAGACTAGGGTTACAGGGCTAATTCGGTGGATCATCTTGTCAGGATTAATGAGGAGATTATAGTGCTAGAAAACCAGCCAGTGGGACAAGTGGAGTAGTTTCCATCATTGTCTGGGCTATGCGCAACACTACCCCAACAGGTGCTGGGGTGGGTTCTTCTTCACAAAAGAAGGTTTGGTAGCAGGTTCCAAAAGCTTGGAGGATTATTATTTTCATTTTTTGGCTATTCAGAAGAGAATACATTAAACTCTCCCAGTTGACATCAGTAATGCCTTCTCTTTGTAAAACTTATCCCTTTCTTAAAATTGTATCAAAGCAAAAGTAAACTAAATAAAATAAAAACTAAAGCCCCCCCCAAACAAACACAATAGCTAAACTACAGACTGCCATTTTCTAAATTGCTATACAACAAAGCACGTTTAAAAACTAGGTCAGAAACCCTTGAAACCAAGATCCTCCAAACCCTACCAGTTCTGTCCAAATCATATCTCTGCCACACAATTGATAAACGGAGAAGTCTTGACAATGGGAGGGAGAGCAAGGGGTTATCATATTCCCCATGTCTGATTGGAGGGCGAGGGGGTGGCTAGTCAGGAGCAGCAGCCTGGGCTAGCCAAGGGCCAGGCTGGTCCAAACTTTGTTCTAGGAGAACTGTTGACTTATGTCACAGACTGTTGACAAATGTGACAAATTGCAGATAAATGGCACCCTGACACCTGCATGACATACTCTCTACATCCCCCCCCCTTCTTTTTATGAGGACAAAGTTTGTCTCCAGTGTACTTCGGGCTTACATGAATTACGTACATGTATGTAAGAGACCTGCTCCCAATTTTTGTTTCATTTTTTGGGGGGGGGGGTGTCTTTTTGTCAGTTCCTCCAGCATGTCATTTGGCTCAATACATGTACATTGTACATGTACTACCCATATACGGTGTACACGTAAGCCCTGTATTAGGCACTTGGTCCACCGTATCGGTAGGGGTTCTCTGGTAATATGCTTTTTTACCAACTCAAGGATGGTACCAGCTCTCCAACTGACATAGTAACTGAGCAACTGGGTATTCTATTATTCAACCCCCAAGCTTTTGTGCATAGTGGCATACAACTGTACCCAGTACAGGCACATCCATCAGTGTGGATACCGTCTGCATACACTGTATGTACATGTACGTACATGATGAGATTGGAAGAAAATGAAACGTCCACAAAATAATGAGCAGAGGTTTGAGTGACCAACAGCAGTCCAGGTTCTTTGGTAATCCTGATGCTCAGATTCTAAACATCAGGAAAAATCCTGACAAATCTCACCCCCCGATGGACAGAATCAGAATCATATAATGATTTTTCTTTTAGTCGCTTTATACAAAATTAGTTACAGCACCCATGATTTTAACCACTGTTCTAACTACTGTGTAAATGTACAATGCATGAGTTGCACCATTACCGGTATTCAAGATGGAGTACTAGTGTCTACTGGTTTACAAGTGCTAGTACATGTCCTAGTTTATGTACCAATACTTGGTACCTTGCATACAAGTACTTTTCCCACATGGAGATGTCATGCCTGGAGGTCAACTGTGCACTAAGGAAGGGGAGAAAAATTAAACAGAGTTCAGCCGGTTTGGGCAATGCACTTTGTTTTAATCTGTATTCCTGTCACGCACACTGGATCTGTGATGATGCATGACCTCAATGCATGAAATGCATGGTAAACTCCTCAGCTGCTGAAGGTTGGCTGGATGAAAAGGACAGGCTTAAAGAAAGACTTTACATTCTTGTCCTGACAGTGATGGATTAGACAGTAGATTTGGCTTCAAATGAAAGTGCAAGCAACAGATATGCAATGCAGTGAGTGATATTGTCCAGTTGCATATATTTTCACTTTTAATTAGGTTAAAAAATGCCATTTTAAGGGGCCTATGCTCTTTTTTTACTATTAAATACCTAATAAATCAGTTGGGATTGATCGGTCATGGTATTTCTTCTGATGTGTGATTGTTTAGAAATACAATCGGTTTGGATGTTCTATCAAATTCTGCGTAGAGGGAGAAATGCAATGCAGATGTAGTGTAATAAGAAAAAAATAATAACCAATTGTAAGTTGAATCACTTGGAATCCTACGAGTAGATGCCCTAATTCAAATGTTAGGGCTGTTAAACATCAAGGAAAATTATGGATTACTGGACAAGTTTGCACATGGGTAGACATTCCTTAAAGCAATCTGAATCATCAGCTTTCTTATGATAAAACAAAATGGTTACACTGCAAGCGACCAATCTTTGACAAGTTTGTGACTGCGTACAGTAGTTCATAGCTTTCACAAGAACTACATGTAGCCGATTTTCTTATATTTTATGTACAATGTACTTGTCTTTATTTGCAACCTTGACCACCTCTGACATACATGCACACATACATGAGTGTACATGTACATGAGCATGTACAAATAAAGGATCTTTGCGGCTTTGGTAACTTTTGGGGTGGGGAGGGCTGAAAAATCATTTCCAGGTCAGTGGAAGGTTAAATGAGCAAACCACAGGCATGTGGCTGTCAACTGTCAACAGAAGTTTGACAGGCCCCTGCTGTGTGTAAGAAACATTCAAGAGTAACTCCTCATGCTCTTGTCATTGAGTGAAGCTGGCCATGCGGTGGATCATTCAGAGTTCACGCAATATTTCGGTCAGTTTGGTTTCATCAAGTTCTTTTTATTCATTGGTACCAAAAGATAAAAGTTTACAAGTAAACAGTGCAATCAATTCGTGTTTATCATCTACTATTCCTAGTCCAAGTACCTCCCCGTTCCAGGCCCTCTTAAATAAAATAATCTCCAACTAGAACAAAATTGGCTGAGATCACGTTACTTTCGTTTGAGTCAAATTGAAACTCACAAAATCAACTCATAACTCAAAAAGTTAACTTGAAACTAAAAAAGTTGTCTGAACACTTGAATAGTCAACTTGAAACTCTGAAACTCTAAGATAAGGAACCCTCTCAGAAATCCAGCATTGAAGACAATATCGATACGCAGGTGCACTTAGGCAGACATTTTTCTGAGAGTCATTTCAATCTGGGCAGCTTCCAAATGGTAAAGCTCTACCTCCTGGTTTCAGTTTACCAAAGGCTAGGAATTTAGCTCCTGCCAAGAATTTGTCCAATTAGCAGGAGGGTTTGGCTTCTGTACTGTAAAAGTATCACTGTTGGGGAGAGGGAAAAGTTGGGTGGTGGAAAAGACAGCAATGAGTTAAGTTCTTAAGTAATGCACACGACCATCACATTCACAGCGGTCGGTCATGTACCATGACACCAAAGATACTTGAACCAGCCTGCTTGAGACCCATAATAAGAACATCATTTGAGGGTCCATGGATGATAGTTTCAACGTATACATAAAGGTACATGGTAGCTTTCAGATTAATAGTAACAGCTGGAAATGGATGTGAGTGGCCACTTGAAATTAAAACTGCAAACAACTAGCAAAAAGCTAAAATGTAAGTAGTCCCCCTATGTTTGTACACAGCAGGTGCACAAAAAAGCTGATATTGAGGTTCAACATCAACAAAAAAAGCTGAAATCAGCTAAAAAGCTGAATTCAGCTAAAAAGCTGAAATCAGCTAAAAAGCTGAATTTTCACACCTCTGTGGAAATCTGTCTAAAAACTGAATAAAATAAAATGTGCTCAGACAATTATGCAAACACAAATGGAGTCGATTAGAGGGAACTGTTGACTGTACGCCAAAAACATAACCTCAAGACACTGTAATAATGTATCAACTTTCTTGTGATGGCCAACACTACACGGTACATGTATCATCTTCATATTTCAGGCATTGACACAACCTCTGTGATACAGAATCTTATAGTAAGCCATTGGTCAAATGTTTCATCTCCCAGTTGATAAATCTGTTAGATTTGGGGGTTTTTTGGCTAAGAGTGGGAGGGATGAATTTCCTGTGCACTACATATACATGCAGCCCTGGGTCAAAGTAGCACTCATCCTTCTATGGTTCACAGCTGTTTTGCCCTGCCTGGATGTTAAAAGGGGCCGCAGCCTGCCTCTGTTTATTCCTGGCAGATGGCTGGTGTTTGTTTTTGCAGCCCAACCCTTCTGGAGTTGCCGACTTTCAAGGAAATCAGGCAAGGACAAAAAGAAATGTGGGGTCTGAGAAAAATCCAATGGCAACAGCCTCAGGGTAACAATTGACCATGTGGACATGTTTAAGATTGTGGGGATTTCAAATGGTTGGTTTTTCCATTATCAATTTGATTTGGACAGATGAAATTCCTTTAGGTACCAGTAAATGTGTACATTGTTCCAAAACAACCCTGTACATTTAAAATACACATGTACCGGTATGTGGGGAGAGCCAATAACAAAGTCTTTAGACAAAATGCACAATTACACTTTTCCTGCAAAATTTGAACAAAAATTCATCGCACTTTTTAAACCTAAATCCGTGTTACAGGTAACGTATACATACACATGTAAGTCAGCCTGTAATTTTATAGTAGGTACATGTACTTACCGACGAACAATTTGTTGAATTTGAACATGATATCCTATATGATTCTCCCCTTGAGATCTGAAAGGAATCAAACCAGGGAAAAAAAGGTAAGTTTGAAAGATGACAGTACAGGTTGACAGCATACATTTTGAAAAGTTAACTATTGAAGTGCATAGAAGTTATCAATGTTTTCTTGAAAATTGATAAAACAGGGCGAGAGTATCTGACTTTCACAGAAGGTCATGAATACTTCCCTGAACCTTAAGCTACATGTAACTTGCTAAGATAACTACATAAGAATGAATAAGACTTCAATTTATGCAACTGCCTTGCCTGGGTCACCTACTGCACACGTACATGTATGAAGCAGCTACTTCGATATTACACTTTGGTAAATGTAAATTTGAATTCGAAAATACCTGCCAGCATCATCCTAAACTTCATTTGATCTGTGCATGTGTGGATGAGCTCATATGCTAGTCTCTCTCACGTCTTGCAAGTTTGTAGAAATATCACCATATATTTACATGTACCTACAAATACTACAGCATCAAGATATCCATATTTTCATATATTTAGTCAATTTTTTGTTAGTTTGATGCATGTTCAAGTACAATGTACATATAGCTGTGTGAGATACCGGTATGTCAACATATAGTCGGGATCCCATTGGACTTTTTTGGGTTCACTTACCGCGACTTTCCTGTAGAATTACAAAATTAAATCCAATGGGAACACGTGGTAAACTAACGTCCCTGTCAACTTACCGTGATCGCGATGTAAAACTAACAGGCCGAAAAAGGTCACAGAAAATTTCTGCGTAGCCACGGTAAGTTAGCAGGGGTGCAAAAAGTCCAAATGGAAACAGTTCCCATACAATGTAGATTGACCGCATCCATGCTAAACATACGAACCAGACTACTGCCAACACGGACATCGATAGCAGGCACGCAAAAATGGTTGTATGGTTCCCAGTCTCCAGCTCTGTGCGTACAGTACAGCAGCAAGCCGCGCACACACAGTGAAGCGTTCCCAGATAACGCTATACGCACATTGTGTACAGATTTCTTCTGTACAGGTTTGTCTTCTTTGTGGCAGATGTGGCTGAATTCATCTGATTTTGTCTTTGTTTTTGTCAGATTTAACCGATTTCGTCATGATTTGTACAGCGAAGGCAATGTAATCTGCTGGTCTTATTAGGCCTAACACAGTGAAAAAACATTCCGTTAACAGTTAAAAAAAGTCCACGTGGGAATGCCAGTAGATCCACACGAAGGAAAGTCGTGGTAATAAGTTACCATGTGCCCACGGAAGAAAATAGTCCAATGGCAACATGGCTTTGGTGAAGATTGGTTTGCTTCTTACTGATGGCTCGTCATACATCGTTTTACCAGCCAGTGAGGGGCTAAAATATAGCTGTGACTCATAAAGAGCAGAACCTACACATGTACATGTAACACAGGCCTTCTTAATCCCTACATGTTCACAAATCCAGATGTTAGTGAAGTTAGTAGTGCCACAATTTCAATGCTTTGTCTCCCTCCGATAGACGTGAAAATCATCAGAAGAACACCGTTTGCAGCTGCTGCCATTACTAAAAGGACTCTACGTTTTGAGGTTTCACCTTGAAATAGTTATCCAAACTCACTGATCCTACAATATGCAACAGCCTTCCATACAAAATTGCAACAGAAGAACATTACCCTAACGGTCTAACACCCTTATAAGAGGCTGTATCATTTATAATGAAAAAAAAAAACTTAAGACTTTCAAACACAAAACGACTTAAGCAGACCTCAAAATGCCTCCACTATCCCTTGTTACAAAAAAAGAAAAAGTAGCATACATGTATATCTACAGCCGAGGCCATCACACTCGGGTTAAATCCTTTACGAATCGCTCTAATGTGCACAAAAGCAGGATTTGGATTTGGGTATTCTTCGGCCCCTGCTCCAAGGCGAGTACAGGGATTTAAAGAAATGTGACAAAAACCACAAGCGAACACTGAGCAGCACAGAGGACGGAGGGAAGAAAGGCACTCCTTTCAGAGTTGAGACACCCCATGTTCCCCTCTCACTAAAGAGATTCTCCACTAAGCTGTGTAAAGTATGAAACTTAACAGGGTCGGGGCACAAGAAAGAGGCTTGTAAAGCCGATTAAAAATTACATATCCACAGCAACGGGAAGGAAAAAGAAAAGTCCCCCCCCAAAAAAAGTCAACTGAAAAGAACTTGTGGTAAGTTATTTACAGCAGGGCATGTAACACATTCCAGGAGATTTAGCTCGTAAATCTGATTCTGGGCAAAATGGTTTTTGGGTTTTATAATCCATGCGCAAGTACATGAACCCCAACTTCATGTACATGTAATTCTTCAAGCATGTACACTGTACATGTACGGTAATCATTATTTACCAGTAACTCTACAAGGGAATATTTCATGGCTTTTGGAATCAATTGTTCGCCATCCATCTCAGTTAACATCAACCTTCTTGGCCATCCAAATTTCAAATTCCTTTAAGGTTCAAAATATAAATGTATTTTCTTGATATAGACAATCCAATGAAAATGTATCTAATTATGTCTGAAACTTCAATTGAAACGCAACAGGGCAATACCACAGGCAATTTGTGGTTCACAGGTACCCAGTACGGCACATGTACATGCACCGGTAAACTCATTTCCCTTTTAAAGTCTCTACAAAATTCTAAAGTGAATTGTTTCCAAGGATGAAAATCCTGTCCTGGAACCATTTTTTTTGTACTTTCTAAAATAGTTTGAGTGCGCCACAGAAAAGTGAAAAAAAAAAATTAAATGCAGTTGTGAAGCATGTCTGGAAGCAGTAGGCATTCATCGCTGGAGTGATGTATCATATGACAAGCTTGACAATGCCTGCCTCAAAATGGGTATGACAGCTCCAGAGAAATGATTCCATTTACAATCATTTGCTCTTTTCCAGAGGGGGGCTGACAGCCACAATGGGATCTAAATGCAGTTGAACAATCATGAGTTTCAAAGCTAACAAAAGACAGAGTGCGACGGAAATGCTGCGGCCTTCAGGTTGGCACTACTCCCAGCCTCAACCTGTCCCAACGCCCTCTTCCTGTCATATTTCAGCCTGAAATTCAGGAGAGGCAGAGCAAGAAAAGAGGCCAGAACAAATATTCACTGCAGCAAAGGCAGCACTAAATGGAACAGACTATGTACACGTATTCGCCTTTGGCTCAATACAAGGGGGGAGGGAAAGAGGGGAAAAAAAAGGAAAAAAAGAGTTTGTTCAATGGCTTTGAACCTGGCTTGGGAAGAAAGGTGCCACGGCAAAGCATTGCCCTCGCTGTGTGCCGGGGAACAATAAACCTTGTGTCGGCACATTCTAATAGGAGATCCAGGGGAGTACAGCAGCATGGCTGCGGCCCAATCCCAGGCTGGACCCACCAGCTCCTAGGCATTCAAAGCTTAAAAGCTAGTGTTACAGATTCTGCAGTTTGCCAGCCCTCCGGCCACTATTTTCTTCACCCCCGCAAATCTTTTGAACTTTCGCTCCCCCGCTCCCCCGATGGGTACTCAGGGCGCAGTTCGGGAATTGCCAAGCACACAAAAAGAGGGAGATTTTCCAATTTTTCTCACCGAGGTCCTGGAATTACACAGGTGGCAGAAATGCAGCAATGTGTGACTATGTGTTGAGTGAGGTGGTACCCACACCACAAGGTTTCAATGAGAGGTAAATGGAAGCATCCACACTCAAGTGTACATGTAAATACAAAGCTCAAACCCCCGACATGAAACCCATCTTACCTCATTCACAGACTACGTCTCTCCCCGTGGTAGACATGTACAATATAATGTATGAACATGAGCATTCTATTACGTAGGACACACTCAGCGTGTTTTTGATTATTTCCCCCAGACTGCATTCAATATGATACTCATCGTCTCACTTGGGCCTGGCCCAAGTAATGTCATCGACCCGTCATGCCCGTTACTTTGGGAACTATCCCACAATGCAATGTGAAAGCATTAGCAACCTAGCTGAATGATGGGAAGGGAAGGTGATGCCATTATAAACAGTTCAGAAAAAATTGTTGTACTTGAAAAGTTACAAACAGGCCCAGTCAAGTAAGTTACATGTACATACATGTACGTAAGTACTGTACATGTACGTCCATTATCTTCGATTGTTTGACTTCGTCTACTGGTTCGGTATGCTACATGTAACACACACAAACATTTATTCAGTTACCAGCTGTTACTGCCACTTCACCCACATTTGCACAGGCATGCTTCATCGGTTAAACGAAAAATGGAAACTCACACAACATTGGAATTTTGGCGACACAGTAGATGTATTTTGAGGCAGTCACAGAAGCCAATGTCATGAAAGCAAAGAGCTCAAAAAAAAACTAACATTCCCATTTCAATGGTACATTGAAAATATCTGACCCATGCCTGCACACATGTACAGACTTTGTTCGTCTGCCATGGTGTGACTTTGAGAGATAACCATTAAGTGTGACTTGCAGTTTCCCAACAAAAAAAAAATATCTTGAGGGTGCATTTTTTTTCCACTAGTGGGGCACTGTTTCAAATGCTTTTTCTGAACAATGGAAAAGAAATTTTCCATATTTCATTCAACAAAAAGCTTGGTTACCAGTATAAGCCACCAAAATGATACACAATAGATTTCAACTAATAAAAAACGTGTAATGTTATGAAGCATGTTTGACTTTGAGAACCGGTACTGAAAGCGCATCAATCAATCATGTTCCATTACAAAACATCTAATTGATGTGCTGCATTTTTCCCCATTCTTATGGCACAGTCAACAAATGGCATCATCATGAGTGTAAAGAGAAATACAAGATAACCGGTATGTACTGGTATACAAAACGTTTACAGTATGTGCCCCACCATTTCAAAGCCTGGTTGAAGTACCTGTGAATGGTACCAGTAAGTTATACGTACACAGATAAAATACATGTTTGACAATTCCACTATCCAACCATTAGGTAATTGCCAGACTTTACTGTTGACCTGTTGGAGTTTATGCCTTTTGCCAGTAATTACAGAGACCCTCTTGCAC